GCCCTACCAGAAAATCTTCAATACTGTTAACAGTGTCTCATTTTTGAAAATGCTATAGAAAGCTACATCAAATTTCATCGACAGATTTCAAATTTCATTCAAAAATGTATTTTTGAATGAAATTTGAAATCTGTCGATGAAATTTGATGTAGCTTTCTATAGCATTTTCAAAAATGAGACACTGTTAACAGTATTGAAGATTTTCTGGTAGGGCACTGGAAAATGCTAATTTTTTTGGCAAACTTCGATTGCAAAAATCACTTGGCGGAAACTCATCATTTGTCACCAATATTATCCTCCATTAGTTTTAACTGGAACCTATGCTCTGGAACGGAGATCCAGTACTCTATAAAATCCTGGCTCCGCCACTACTCACAAGAACGCCTTACCTACACCGCTCACAGAATTGCCTACACTACTCACAGCTGAACATAGACTCACTCAAACAGCTATGTAAAATGAAACTCCTACCTTTCTCTCGTCCGCTTGATCGCGCTTCTCCATCACTAACAGACCACTGGCGACCTGAAATAATTCTAAAGCACAAACACAGGCATTCGCTGAGAAGAGGTAGTTACGTTTCATTCGCGCATTCCGCCCAACATATAACCTAAACAGCGAAGAATAATATATGGGAATAAATAAGTATATACTTATCTATCCAATTGACATTCATGTAGCCAAGTCATTTGAATCATTAGCCGGACAGTACACGCCATAACACGACCATATATCAGTCTAAAACAAAACACTGGCTACTCATTCTGGATGATTTGGAAGGAATCAAACTCATAGACTATATCGACTGGGCCGGCCGTGGTGACTAGTCAGTCGCGATGGTTCGGGAGGTATCGGGCGAAACCCCTTAGGCCTTTGTTTAGGAATTAATGGTTCTGGAGGTCCAGTACGGAACCGCGTATTGCTTCGTAAAGGGAGAAATGGTTCAGGGGCTCTAGCACGGAACTCTTGATGGTTTCGCGAGATGAGGAGTGGTTTGGTAGATTTGGTACGGAGCCCTTTATGGCTTCAGAAAGGGATGAATGGCTCCGGAGGTGTATGGCGGAACCATAATGGTTCGGTAATATGAGAAAAGGTTCTGGAAGTTTAGCGCGGAACCCTTCATAGTTTCGGAGAGGGACGAATGGCTGCGGACGTCTGGTACGAAACCCCACAGGATTTCGAAAAATGAGGTATGGTTCGGGAGGTCTGGTACGGAAGCTCTGATGGCTTCGTAAAGGGAGAAATGGTTCGGAAAGTGTGGTACGGAACTCAGGAACGTTCGGCATCCGAAATGCGAAACCTCAGTCACCCTAGTGATGTGCGTAAAGGCTCGGCATCTCTAATACGAAACCCTACATGGTTTCGTAAGTCTGTTTCGAAACCTTTATGTGCTCTACGGAACTACGGCAGGTTTTGTACCAGACATACGAAACCAAAAAAGTTGAGTATACGCGCTGCTGAACCTTTCAATGGTTTGGCAATAACAGCACGAAACCTTTTTGGCCCTCAAAACCTTAAAAAAGTTCTTTATTTACGCTACGGAACCATTTTGGTGGTGCCAAACTTAAAATAGTTTGGTGGGCCATCACTAAACCGGAATGGCTTGGTGGGCTACCTTTTTTTTTTCAGTGTAAGCTGTAGAGTTTTTTTAATCTTCCACTATACTTTTTAGCTAAAAAATTAATTTAGCGGCGCCAATTTCTTTTGAAGAAAATCGAATCAGCTTGCAAAGGAGTCAAAGGCATAAAAGATTTTCTACTTTTAATTCTTGAAACGTCTATTTTAAATGTCAAAACAGAATTCAATGAGCATGTGTGCTCTAGCGCCATCTTTCTGCGCACGCCAACAATTCGTAACTGTTGAAATGATTACACGTCATTTCTTTTCGTCGAAAACATATAAATGCATCACCGCCATGAGTTACCACTCATAACGAACAAAATCAAAATTTTTTCATCGCTTTCAGTCTATACGGTACGGTTTGCTGCACGATTGAAATACAACATGCACACATTTTCCACATTACCCATCGAAATTGTTTATCGAATTATGGATCATCAAAATGAGCGGACACTATTTTGTTCAATGCAAAATATTTCCAGACGGCTCAATCAGATCCTGAGCACCTATGAGCGATATCGAGTAAGTTTACTTGGCATCTTAACACTCTTGTCGGTTGTGCTACACATAAGCCTAATGATATTTGACATCGCAAATTTCCTCATAGGAAGAGGTCAAATAATCTCATAATCCACAAATTATTTCATCGAATCAGACGATCACAGTGCGAAGTCATATGAAATCAGGCATTCCTCCACTCTCTCGGCTTTCTGCTATGTATGTCGAACTGTTCGATACAAGAGCGCATCAACTATCACTTTTCATGAAACCTCCCAAATCAAGCAAACTGACCTCCACTATTTCTGGACCTATGCCTATATTCATTCTCACCCTCACCCACAAAAAATTCGACTCCCACACATCACAAAACTAGGATGTCAATTTCCTTCCAGGGCGCCCTCAAAAGAGATATCTCACTACAGTCAACAACTATCGACAGTTATATCCTCCTCTTTCCACTCGAACAGCTCACGGTAATCTCCTGTCCATATTACCAACACATCACTTCTTCTCTGAACGCAGTTTTTCCTGCGCAACAACTACCATCGTCATCCACCCAAAAAACTCATATCTAGATCTAACTCCTGCCTAAAAATCGTCCCCAAACATGACTATTTCATATCACACATATACAATCAGAAGCGTCATCAAAGGTCCCATTTGCTACTTGTTCTTCTCATAATATATTGCTTTCATGTAGACACTCACCACACTAGATCTCGGCGGTAACGGAATCGGTGATGAAGGGGCACAACTCATTGCGGATGCGTTGCGAACGAACACGGTAATATTGATCTTATTTCACGGAAAGTGGAGAACTCAGTCTCTCTCACACCTACAGACACTCACCACACTACATCTCGGTAGTAACGAAATCGGTGCCGCAGGAGCACAACACATTGCGGATGCGCTACGAACGAACACAGTAACATTGATCTCATTTCACGGAAAGTGGAAAAGTCAGTCTCTCTCACACCTACAGACACTCACCACACTACATCTCGGCAGTAACAAAATCGGTTCTGAAGGGGCACAACACATTGCGGGTGCGTTGCGAACGAACACGGTAACATTGATCTTATTTCACGGAAAGTGGAGAACTCAGTCTCTCTCACACCTACAGACACTCACCACACTACAACTCAGCGCTAACGGAATCGGTGATGAAGGGGCACAACACATTGCGGGTGCGTTGCGAACCAACACGGTAACATTGATCTTATTTCACGGAAAGTGGAGAACTCAGTCTCTCTCACACATACAGACACTCACCACACTACATCTCCGCGCTAACGGAATCGGTGATGAAGGGGCACAACACATTGCGAATGCGTTGCGAACCAACACGGTAACATTGATCTCGTTTCACGGAAAGTGGAGAACTCAGTCTCTCTCACACATACAGACACTCACCACACTAGATGTCGGCTGGAACGAAATCGGTGCTGAAGGAGCACAACACATTGCGGATGCGTTACGAACGAACACGGTAATATTGATCTCATTTCAGAGAAAGTGGAGTACTTAGTCTCTCTCACACATACAGACACTCACCACACTAGATCTCGGTAGTAACGAAATCGGTGCCGCAGGAGCACAACACATTGCGGATGCGTTACGAACGAATACGGTAGCATTTATCTCATTTCACGGAAAGTGGAAAAGTCAGTCTCTCTCACACCTACAGACACTCACCACACTAAACTTCTACGGTAACAAAATCGGTTCTGAAGGGGCACAACACATTGCGGATGCGTTGCGCAGGAATGCAGTAAGACTGATGCTTTGGTGGAACAAAATTTAGAATATCTGATATATATAATTCTTAGAGCGTCAATATGGTGTAGATCTTGCGCTCGATGGAATGGGAGAACAAGTGATAGTTGATCTGGTGACTCTTTTTGTAGAAAGGATGTTTTTGGTTTGAGAACTTCGTCGATATCATTTGGTGTGTGATTTGGGCGACATTGAGAGAGTGAATGAATAAAAAATGAATTGTGTTGTGAGAAATGGATGTGACCTGAATTAGAATGCTTTTTGTTGCGGGAAAATATATGTGGAATAGTGGAAGTGAATGCTTTATTTACGGAGGTGTAAGAGAGCAGTGTTTGATGGAAGAGGTGACATGGTAAGATGGATTCATGAGAGGTCTCTTGGATTGGAATTTGTTTCTGAAAGTGTGTGATCGACAAGATAACATTACTGCAGACTGCTCGACTATATTGTAGATCTGGGAGAATTGAATTGACAGGAGTACAGCACGTATGAGTTTTACATCTCAGGTCTCGTAAAGGCAAAGTCATCAGACCAAGGTACATTGAATGAGAAAGATGTTTCATTATTATCTAGCTGTTTTATGTTTGATTCCAAAGCGTAAATGTATTGAGAGCTTGATAATGAAGTGTTATGTTTGTTTGTAATTTATTTTTGGAGAGGATAGTATGCATCCGTTATCTATGAGTTCTGTGGTGCATTGGAAAGAAACAATGTGCTATAAAGTGACTGAAATGGCACGGTGAAGAGAGAATTGTCAAAAAGTAGCGCACCAAATCGCGCTGTTAGACTAATCGTTTCCCACGATCAACGTAGTCTGAGAAGAAGTTATTTTGTCGTTTATGATCAGTTCCATTCACTCTCAGTGTTGATCTATAGGAAAATATCAGAGAAGTATTGGTTGCAACATTTTATCGCGGAAAAAACTTTGGAGTATACTCTCGAACTTCTTTATATATTAGTCTGATAACAGGGTTTTTTCGTTTATGGTTTACTTACATGTAAAATATCTACACGGCTTGAAACGATAGGATATTTGAGGCCATAAGAAAAGCGGAGGATAACCAGTTTGACAAATTTTCTCAGTCAGATTCGGACTGGTACATTTAGTATCTAATGATAGGCACCTATTGTACCCTTGCTCTAAGATCTATCTTTCGAATGATGACAAAACTGAAACCAGTTAGTTGTGCATCATTCAACATCATAGCCTATGCGCTGAGATATTATATATTCGTAGCGTTCCTTAACATTACACTGTAAGAGAACACACATTTCGTTTGATTTGGGTACCTGCCTTTGAGTTCTCTACATGTATCGGTGATTGAAACCTCGCACGAAATGATGATCATTGAAGAGAAGTGGATTTTGGCTATCTGAAGTCACTCCAGGCTGATTTTGTGTCTGTAGTGTTGCTAGGTTTTGAGATGTATCTGAAATGGTACGTATATATACCGCCTTTTTGCAAGGAGTTAACAGTACTTAGTCAAAGTACACTCATATAAATCGAATGGACTGAAAGTAAGCAAAGTATCATAATCTAAGTACAAATAATTTTACTTTCAATCAAGATATTTGTGCACATTTAGTCTCCATTTGTTTATCAATACAGCATCCTCAACGAATACAACTGTTTAGTAATAGTCTGTACGTGATGTAGATAAAAAGTAGAATTTGCAACATCCAGCACTGGTATCCACGAAGTCCGATATAATGCCATCGACAGAATTTGTATATACGGATATATAAAACAGTCAAAGATGAGCGTACTCGTAGTCAAAGAAAGAAGATCTGTGCATTTTATTTTCAGTGAATAAAATCACGCTGTGCAACATTGAAACTTTTTAGCTGAGTATGCAGTCACTTTTTATTGTCATTGAAAGTAAAGAGAGCGAAAATTGTCATCGTTAAAATAAGGTAAACATGCTTAGATTAATTAATGTTCTTTACTTTTCAGTAGTTGCAGAAGCTTCTCCTAACACGCGAAAAAATACTCTCCCACGTTTGTTCCGGATAGAGCGCTCTCGCTCAAAAGCATCATCTTCTGACGGTAAATCTTGTTGAATTTTCAGTTTGGATCTAATATTTCCAACAAAAGCGAAGACCAAGTTCAGGATAACCAATACGTGCACAATGAAACTTATTTCAATATACATATGTAATTTTTAAGTAATGCTCGCCCATTGAACTCCCTGATCTGATAGTAAAACGATAGAACTATATCTTTACCCATACTTAAAACACCATAGAGACTTGTTTTACTTCATAAACCAAACCAAACCACTTGTCTATTTGTAAAAAGCTAATGTTGTCTAGCCGATTATAATGATCTATCTACAATATCCGCCGTTTTTCTATTCATATTCGAATTCAATGAATATGTTTAGCTTTATACCATGTTTAATACCAATGACATCCTACTGAACGTCACATGATGTTCTTTTTTTCAGCATAGAAGAGCAAGAAGTTTACGCATACTTATAATGGATCGGAAAGATTTCATTTCAAATAGACTACATATCGACTAAGATTTAAGAAAAAAGGTGCACCAGAAGAAATCGACGTCGAGTTTGATGTTCTCAATCTTGATTACGCTTTATAGGGGATGGTTGCTCAGAGCGAGTACACTCAATCGGATTCGTTGGGAATTCGGTAGAATCTGAAAGCCGGATTACTCGTTGCAGTGGCGCAACCAGGGGAGAGGCATGTGAGCAATTGCCCATTCCATTTTGAGTTTTCCCCACTCAAATTTTATTTCTTAAAATTCTCTTTCTCGTAGACAAGAGTCCTAGAAACATAAATTGCTTGTTTGATTGCTTGCTTGTATGTCCGCACTCCACTGATTGGTCGAAAACTAAAATGTAGCCATTAAAAACTATTCTCGGAAGAAACTTGACCAAAGGGTTTTGGGCGTCGGGGAACTTGAATCTGATGTTAGTTTTCTGAAATATTGCAGACAAATTTTTTTTAAACAAAGGGCCGTTTTTTACAAAAAATTTTTTTTTTTATAAAATCTGACCAATGAGTGTATTGGGTCGATAAACTCGAATCTGGTGTTATTTTTTCAAATGTTTACATGGATCAATTTTTGTACACAAAGGGCGACTTTGTTGTAAAAAACAGTTTTTTTATAAAAATTTACCGAAGAGATTTCGGGATCGAAGAGGACAAATTTGGTGTTACTTTTTTCAGAATTAAAAAATTTTCAAACGAAGGATACCGATTTTCACAAAAACATTTATAATTTGTTTACAAGTTCCACTCTCTCTTGCTTAGGACGTTGAACTGAAACGTCTAGATGAACTTGACAAAAAGACCCAGGCCAACAAATCCGACAGGATTCCTGGTGACGGAATTGCATTGGATTCTGACTGGGAAAATCCGGTCATTTGTTACAAATTTCATGAGGGTTATTTTTAGCTAGGTTCTATGATGACCCTTAGAAAATCCATAAAATCCGTGTTTGGGATCCGATCGGATCCGAGTATGGGATTTGTCGACCTGGAGAGAATGTACCTTTTCCGCTTTTTGAACGTGTATAAATCAATACACTGTTAAGAGTTTAGTGTTATTACAAGCATATAAAATGTATTATCATTTTTCAAATTATCTTAAAATAATTATTTGTATATGTTCGTTTTTTTTACCTCTTTCTTTGCATTTATCTTAATTATTGCAGTAATCGTTTCTTTTCTCTCATTGTAGCAGATATTTCCTATTATGTTTTCTTATTTTCTTTTTTCATGTAATAACTCATAATCTACTTAATTGTATTGATACTTATTTAGAATCTCTGGTTCTCAATTTGATATTTAGTATAAGTATCTATTCTACACTAAAAATAAAGTAATATACACAATAATAGCTTTAAAGGTGTAATATCTGAAAGCACGATTTCTACGAGAAAGAGTTGAGCGAGTCACTAGACGAGCGTTACTTGTTAAATTAATCATCTGTACATTATAATTTTTCGAGTCTTTTTTCGAACTATCGCCCTGTGGTTCTTTTTTTTTCTTGTTTTTCGTTGTCAAAATAAAAGATATCAAATTGAGAGTATACGATTGATTAGTGAATCGGAAACATATTGGGCTATACTGTCAAGGTCACGATGAAGTGGGAAGTCACATATCCAGATTGAACGCATATGATTCGAAACCCACTGGATGCCAATTTCTCAAGAATGAACATAGAAGCAGTATTCCGAATCGAAGAATATGTAGACCACACCACCCTCAAGACCCAGCAATTCGAATGATGAAAGAAAAATATTTACCTCCGTTAGAAAAAGAGTTCGTACATTTTCGATCAGAAACACAAAAAACTAATCTTTTTATTGGTAAAGTTTTGATACTAAATCAGCACAGAAACTTTTAGATATACAGAATCTCCGGCATGAAATTTACCTTTTATGTCGATCGACTACTCATATTTGGATTACGTGAAAAATGAGAAAGAAAGATTTGTTCGAATCTTGCGTTACATCAGTCTTATATTAGAGTATCGGTAAGAAAGTAGAGACAAGAATAAGGTTATTTTGTTCTATCAATTATGAATACGTGAAGTTAAAAACGTTGCTTATGCACATGTGTTGTCACTGTTGACGTGGATGTTCGCTTGATTAGACCAAATTTTTCCAACCAAACTACACGAATTTGTGGCATTGGTGTTGGTGGTCGATATGGTAAAACGATTGTTGTGGTGTTCCAAAGTAAATCATCAGTTTTCTGTATCGATCGACGCAAATGATTGGGACAGAATACTTTGTAAAAGCAAGCCACTACTGCATACAAAATAAAGGTGATTATACGCCAAATGTTCATTTTGTTGAGAATAGTCAAATGAATAGGAAAGAAAGGAATTCTCTCACAAAAACGTACATCAAGGTAAAGACAGATAAACACATTCCTCTCATGAATATGTCAAGGTGTCACGTGTTCAAATATCGTCGTAACATATCGAGAGATGCTCACTGAAGAAAGATTGAAATTTTATTGCATAAGACAAAAAGTAGAAGTTCAAAAGCTAATCTGTTATCGTTAATGATTGATTAATAAAAGAGCGATTGCCAATATGC